AGGATGGATGAAGACAGAATGTTGAGATCATAGATGGACCCTTTGACTGGGGTCTCCGAAAGGATGGTAGTTTGTGTTAGGAAGGATCTTCGATTTACCCTTAGCGATGAGGCAGTTGCTCTGTTGGTTTTGGAACTGATGAAACATAGGACTTTGTCTGTGAATCATAATGTGAGTCCGAACACTCAGGTTGATGGAATGGAAGGTGGGGAGGACAGTGTTGTTGATTGTATTTTGTGTGTAGGGGAGGAGGAGGAGATGGAGGACAGGGTAGGAGAGGTGTTGAGGGATAAGCAGAGTGGGGCTTTTGACATGATTGTGTGGGCTGAAGAGGGACATCCAAATTTAGGGGTGGTGGAGCCTTTGACTGTTGTGAGACCGGAAGGCTTAGAGACTGATGATGTTAGACAGGATCGTGTTGATGTTGGTAACAAGTGGGTGAATGATCACATTGTTGTTGTGTGAATAGTTGGGTGTTTCCTTCAATGGTAATCGGAACCACGCATTGGCAATACTACATGCAACGATGGAGGGGAGAGAAGGGGAGATGAAGAAGAAGTCTAGGGGAGAGAGGGGTTTGAAGGAAGAGGACTGCCCCCCCCCCCCCCCCCCCCCCCCCCCCGGAAAGGGGAGAGGGAGTTGAGAAATCTTTTCTCTGAAGCGAATTATGATTTTAATGATGGAGGGGTAGTAGGGTGAGTTGTGGGGTGTTGGGGGGGGAGGGGGGGGGGGTTGATGGATACTGTTTCCTCATGAAGCTACGACTCATTTCGTGGAATGTCTGGGGCCTTAATGTCCCGGACAAGAGGAAGGTTGTGAAGTTGGCAGTGAGAAAATGGGGTGCTCATGTGGTTTGCTTGCAAGAAACGAAGATTGCTTTGATGACGGATAAGGCGGTTTGGAGTCTTTGGGGCAGTAGGTTTGTTGAATGGGAGGTGTTGGATTCTTTAGGGGCTTTTGGAGGTATCCTTATCACATGGGATAGGAGATGGATGGCAAGGGTGGAGGTGTGGAGAGGGAGAAATTTTTTTTTTTGTTAAGTCAAAAATATACCCAAATTCGTGGAGAGGGAGATTCTCCTTCTCACGTGCCTTTGTGAGGGAGGAGGATGGTTTTAAATTGGCATTATCCGACGTTTATGGGCTGCTGGAGGATAATGAGAGAGTTGTGATGTGGGAAGAGCTTGGTGCTGGAAAGACATGTGGTCTTTTCCTTGGTGTGTTGCCGAGGATTTCAATGTGGTTAGGTCGCCATCTAAGAGGTCTATACGTGGTAGATGGTCTTCAACTATGTTACAGTTTTCGAAGTTCATTGACGGACATTATCTTATTGATCTTCCTTTAGAGGGCGCTGCTTTTACTTGGTCCAGCGGGATGGACTCGCCCACTTTTTCCTGCTTGGATAGATTCTTGATCTCTGGTGAATGAGAGGAGAAGCTCCCGGATGTGGTTTAGGTTGCTTTGGCTAGGGTGACTTCTGATCATATTCCGTTGGTTTTGGATTGTGGAGGTTTGAGGCCTCAGTGTACTCCTTTCAGATTTGAGAATATATGGCATTTTCAAGGAAAAGTGCGGGGTTGGTGGGAGGAAGCCTCGGTGGTGGGTACTCAGAGCTTCACTTCTGTTGGTAAGCTTCGTTTTCTTAAGACGGAGCTTAAAAGATAGAATAAGGAGGTTTTTGGGAACTTGGAGTGGAGAAAAAATAGGAGGTTTTTTGGGAACTTCGGTTTCTTTCACAGACTTGGCAATGCTCACAGAAGGGGCAATCACATTGGGAGGATTCGAGTGGACGGAATGGAGTTGTGTACGGAGGAGGGGGTGTGTAGGGGATAGCTTCTTTTTACTAGAGGCTTTACAATGGAGACCCCATCTTAATGGCCTTCATTTTGACTCAATTTCTATAATTGATAGGGATGGTTTGGAAAATTTCTTTTTAGAGGAGGAGGTGTTGAGGGCGCTGAAGAGTTGCAACGGTGATAAGGCTCCGGGTCCAGATGGATTTACTATGAGATTTTTGTTGGAAAGCTGGGAGGTGGCGAGACATGTGGTGATGGGTACCTTTTATGAGTTTCATTCTAATAGGAGGTTCGAAAAGTCGTTGAATGCATTTTTCATTGCTCTCATCCCTAAGAAAGGAGTTGTGTTCGATGTTCAAGACTTTAGACCAATAAGTTTGTTGGGTTGCATTTATAAGCTTATTAAAGTTCTCACCTTGAGATTGAGGGAGGTTCTGGACGGTGTCATCTCAGAGTCTCAAAATGCATTTATTGGGCAAGCAGATTCTGATTTCCGCTCTCATTGCTAGCACATGTGTGGATTTTAGGTTAAGGAGAGGTGTTCTAGGAGTTCTGTGCAAGCTTGACATTGAGAAAGCATATGATCGTGTTAGTTGGAATTTCCAATTATTTCTTCTGGGGAGGATGGGTTTTGGGGAGAGATGGAGGAAGTGGATCGAGACTTGTATTTATTTTGTTAGATTCTCTGTACTGGTGAATGGGTCCCCATTTGGCTTTTTTGTAAGCTCTCGAGGTTTGAGACAAGGGGATCCCCATTCTCCCTTTTTATTTATTATTGTTATGGAGGCCCATAGCATATTGATGAGCAGGGCAGTGGATTTGGGTTTTATCAGGGGATTCAGGATGGGCCCGGATTCAGGGCAGATGGATATCTCTCATTTACTTTTTGTGGACGATACTTTAGTTGAGATGTCCCAACTCAGATATTTAAGGAATGTGCTGGTCTTTTTTCAGGCAGTGTCAGGGTTGAAAGTTAATGTGGGTAAAAGTGTGCTTGTTCCTGTGGGGGAGGAGGTTCAGGAGGTGACTTAGCTTGCTACAGTTCTAAGATGTGGTTCCTTTCTGATTGTTTATCTGGGGTTGCCTTTGGGTGCTTCGGCCAGGAGGGTGGATGTTTGGGATTTAGTGATTCAGCGGTTCGAGAATAGATTAGTTGGATTGAAGAAGCAATAGCTCTCGAAGGGTGGGAAAGTCACTCTTATGAAGGGCACCTTGTCTGGTCTCCTAACTTACTTCCTATCCCTCTTTTAGATCTCGTGTTCTATTGCTGAAAGACTTGAGAATCTCCAATGGAATTTTCTCTGGGTGGTTGGGGTGAGGAGTTCAAGTACTATCTTGTCACGTGGGATCATGTTTGCAGGCCTCTTCAGATGGGCGGTCTTGGTATTAGGAGGTTGATCCCCTTTAATAGGGGGCTCCTTGGGAAGTGTTTATGGAGATTTGGTTGTGAGAGACATCGATTATGGAGGAGGGTTATAGCGTGTCGTTTTGGGGAGGAGAGAGGGGGTTGGTCTTCCTGGCCGGTTAGATTTGCTGTTGGCGTGGGAGTGTGGAAGTTTATTCGAAAGGGCTTGGGTTAAGATTCTTACTCTGGACAATTTGAGAAAGAGAAGACAGATCACAGTGAACCAGTGTTGCATGTGTAAAAATGATGGAGAGTCCGTGGATCACCTTCTTTTGCATTGTTCAGTGGCTTATGATTGTTGGAGTCTTATTTTTGGTCTCTTTGGCATCCATTGGGTTATGCCTTGGTCTTCAAGGGAGTTGATTGATGTTTGGAGGGGCCAGAGGGTGGGGGGCCATGCTCATGTCTATTGGAGGGTGACCTCCCTTTATGTTTGGTGGAGCATTTGGAAAGAGCGAAAAAAAGGTTTTTTGATGGGGAGGAAACCTCTATTGGGGCGCTGAAATTTTCTATTATTAGTTCTCTTTTTAGTTGGATGAAGGGGAGAAATTGCATATCTTTAGATGAGATTGTGGACTTTTTGGGTTCTTTGGGTCCATAGGGTTTTATTTTGGTTTGGTTCCTTGTATTTCTATTGGGATGCGTTCCCCTTTTGAATGCTTTCTAATTCATTTTATTTATCAAAAAAAAAAAAAAAAAAATTACAAAGAACAAAAAAGGAAAAAAAAAAAAAAAAAGGACAATGTTAGTGTGTGCTTTTATGTTCTAACTCTTAGGTTATTCTTGTATTTTTTTTTTTTTTTCCTTTTCCAGTTATTATGTTCGATTAACACAGAAAATTTGAGTCAACTATTCTTTCTCTCCATCTCTCTAATTATAATTTGCTTGGGTTTTGGTACCCACAGCACATACTTTACGTGTTTCTCAGCATGCAAGGAGTTATTTGACTAATAATTTCCTTAGATTGTGTTTTTAGAAAAGCATTGTTGTAATATAATGTTATTCATGTGTTGGACTAATAATTTTTTTGGCAAGAAACAAGTCCATGAAATGAGAATGTGGAGTGGGATGTTGGGTCTTATTTGTAGTTATTAGTAGTGAGATGATATTGCTAGAAATTGTTAAGAGTTGGAGGAATCATCAACTGAGAGAAGGCGAGGCTCATTGGACACTAATGAGTTTTCGAATGAGTGATATTGTTCAAGTTGAACAAGGGAAGGCTTAGATGATAATCAGGTTAAGTTTTTGAGAGGAGATGATTCCTACAATCTAATAGAATATATGGTTTTAGTTTAGATGGCTAGAAAGGATATTTACTGCCAGCCAAAGTAGGCGAGATAGATTATGTTGTTGCTGTTCTTGGAGTTATAGTAGTCACTTGGGTGGGTTCTTAAGGATCTCCCTGGTTAGGTCGATTGAAGTGTCATATGTGTTGAACCCCGCCTAGGAAACATCAGTAGAGTACTTGTAACGTCCAAATCACTAATATATACATTGAGAAGGGGGACACACGCAAACACACACAATTGATCCTTATGGGAAATCCTTATATATATAATCGTTATGAACTTGGTGCACTTAAAATTTTTCAACTTGTTATGTGTTTTATGCGGTAATCTTAAATCTTGTATTGCAACAAATTGAATTGATTAGGTTTTTGCCCCTTCGCCCCTTGTAAGAAGTAAATACTACATTACTACATGTACAGATCATGATACTATGATTAAAAACTTTTGTTGTGCAAGCTTTCCTTGTCTTGGCAGCTGTAGTGAATTCGTTCTCTGTTGTATGTTTCTGTAGTAATAGTCTCACCTCATGGAATGCGTGGTAGGCTTTCAGGATGTTGTCCTGGTGACCTTGTGAGGCAAGCGTATCTCAGGTATCTGAAGGACAGACAAATTACTCTGAGATTTTTTTGACAAGTTAAATTACTCATATTTAATCTTAATGCTTGTACTCTCGCCCTTACCTACTTTGACATGCTTGAACAGTTCTGGCAAGTATAGTACTTCCAATGGAATCGTTGGCCTACCGAACCGTATTTCTCAAGGTTCTGGTTGCCAGTTGAGGGGTCAAAATTGCTATATTGAAGTTACACTTGGCTACCCTAGTTCCGAAAATAGCAAGGCACTGCAACTTGGCTCGAATTCGAATAAGAATTTTGTCAAGCATCATATTGCTGAATCCCCTGCAGTGCCAAGAGGGGTTCAGAAGGGATCGTCAGATCTGCTTTCAGTTTGTGAAAAAGCATTTATTTATCCAGCTGAGGCAGTGCTTGTCCCAGTCCTGCATACGTCATTTGCTAGATCTTCTTTGAAAAGGTATATTATATTATTCTATGTTAATTATTTTTGCAAATTATGCCAAATATATACAGCAACGACAACGACCAAACCTTTTCCCAATTAGTTCGGGTTGGCTACATGAATCCCATGTTTCTGTTCCGCTCTATTTAAGGCCATAGCCTCAGTCAATCCTCATACGATCATATCTTTCTTTACTAACTCTACTGACGTTAACTTTGGTCTTCCTCTTCCCCTATTATTGCCCTCAATGTGGACTATGTCACTTATTCTAACCAGTGCACTTAAGGTTTTCCTTGCACATGTCTGAACCATCTTAACCTATTTTCTATCATTTTATCTCCAATTGGTGCTACTCCGACCATCTCCCGAATGTGATCATTACTAATTCTATCCTTTTCATTCTTATTGCACATCTATCTCAAACACAAATATTGCACATCGATCTCAACATTTGTGTTTATGCCAAACTCACTTTATGCCAATGTTGTTTCCTAGCTGCCCAACATTCGGTACCATAAAGTATGACTGGTCTAATAGTTGTTCTATAGAACTCCACTTTCAATCTTAAGTGACTATGCCTATCATACAATATACTAGATGCAGTTGCCCATTTAACCCACCCTGCCTTGATTCTGTGATTAACGTCATCTCCAATTTCTCCCTCATTATGAATAATTGAGCCTAAATAATGAAAATGTTCACTTTTTTTTTTTTTTTTTAATCTCTTGATTCTCAATCCTCAGAACATCCTCATTTGTGTTTCTAGATTTACTAAAGTTACACTTCATATATGTAGTTTTATTTCGGCTTATCTTAAACTTAAACCCATTTAGTTCTAAAGCTTCTCCCAAACCTCCAATATGGCATTAACCCCTTCTCTAGTCACGTCAACTAAAACAATATCATCGGCAAATAACATACAGCATGGAATTTCATCTTGGACGTGTCTTGTCAGCTCATTCATAACCAAGGCAAAAAGGCATGGACTTAATGCTGACACTAGTGTAAGCCTACAGTAATTAGGAATTCACTTGCTCTCCTACAGGCATTCTAACTATGGCCACACAGCCATCGTACATGTCCTTTATTGTTTCAATTTCTCCCTTTGTGACTCCTTTCTTTTCTGAAACCCTCAATATTAGGTCTCTAGGTAACCCTATCATAGGCTTTCTCCAAAGCAATAAAAAGCTTACGGAGACGCCACTTTTTTCTTGGCAATAACCGGTTAAGTAACTTCTGTCAAGTCCTGAACCTTGGTTTTGGATATGACCTCTGTGTAACTTTTCCATCTGACCAGCTGGATATTTGATATGTAAACCAGCAAATTAAATAATCTGATGCTTTTAGTACCCTAAGGTGAAAAAGCCTTTTCTTGTGTGTGAAACAATGCTTTTATCTTATGTGAACTTACAGTGATTGATCAACTTGCAGATTCTGGCTACAAAATTGGATAGGGCCATCCTTTTCTGCTTCATCCTTCTATATGCATTGGTTAGTTCCAGTTATCTGTCAGTGTTCTTTCATGGACCATTAATCTTTCCTTCTCTTACTTGCATGTCGAAGTTATATTATATATCAGTTACGTGAGGTGATCCTAAAATGTCATGTTTACTTCTCTCGTAATATTTTTGTTTTCAGCAGTGCTGGTGAGATAGATTTTGTGGATGGATCTTGGATTGAATCAAATGAAATTCGCGTTCAAAATGATAATCACAGTAGTAGCAATAGTAATAGTAGTAGCATCAGCAGCATAAGTAGCACGTCTAGTGATAGTGATTACAAGATGACCACCGGAGGTGGCGATCTGGAAGCAGATGTTGATTCTTTGGATTGCAGACACTCTGGTCTATCTTCTAATGATCAGTTGCAGAATGATGGTCCCAAATCGGTACTTTAATTTGTTTACATTAAAAGAGGAGCTTGTGGTATTTTATTTATTCAAACACTGATTCTTATTTGTTGTCATATATATGTCAAGATTTCCTAACTTGTGTTCTATGATAAATTTGATCTTTGATCATTTAAATGCTTTGGGCGTATGACGCTAGTAACTCTATAATGTTCTACGCTTTTGAGGTGTTAGTTTTGAGTTTGTTCTTTTTCTTTTTTTGGCTAGGACTGAGTTTGTTCTTTTAATTAAGAAGAAACGTGTTTCTTGATTTGTGGTCACTTTTTCTTTACCATTTGATATTCTTCATATTCAATTTATGCATGGATCTTGTACATTTATTTCCAAGGATTCCGATCCAGTGTTAACTGTTCTCTGTTTAGGATTTTCAAAAATGCTTTTCATTTTAGGTTACAGAGGGAGAAAATAATTTTTATCTTAAATGATTGAAGTTCTGAGCAATGATGACTAGCTAGGGTGTTTGGGTTTTCATGTGGAAATATTGAAGAATTCCATTTACTTTTTTTCAGAAATGCAGGTTTTCTCTGTAATGAACTACGAATCAGTTTCTTGAAATGTTAAGGAGATCGAATTGTCTCATCTACAATTGGGATTTAAGAGTGCTGTAAATTAGTTGGACTTAGTTTTAGCTCATTGGACTTCAGATGAGAATGAGTATTGAAATGCTGGGAGAAGGGTGCTTTTTTTGACCTTGCTACATCAGTTTCAGTACTCGTGGCACTTGCAGTCACCAGAGATTCAGAAAGGGAATTTAATTGTCATATTTTGTGCAGCATATTGTTCATTGCTAATTTATGCATTCTGCTTTGCATTGTACCAGGCACATCACATTTTATGTCCAAGTAGGTTATTTTGCGGTTCAGTACTCAAAGTTAGCTTAGTAGTTCTCTCTCTCTCTCTCTCTTGCCCCCTATCGTCGTTCTCATTTCTCTCACGTTAAAAATTTGATGCATTTGTGCTAAATTTATATTTTTAGTCTGCTATATTTTGAGCGATTGTGATTGAAAGGCTACATATTCACTCCCCTCTAGGTCGGTTTCTTTATCAATAATCCTACTGGGTTTTCTACTCTGCAACCCTTTACATCATCTATTTTATATGGTCCATCCTTGCTTTTTTCATTATTATTATTATTATTATTATTATTATTACTATTTTGATTAGTACAATACACACACTCATGTCCCTAGTGGGAGTTGATCACTTGTATCTCCGCCTGGAGTTGTAGGAGAAAATACTCAAGCTAACTGCTGATTATTTTATATTTAATGCTTAGTGGTTTTTAATTACGTTGTGAATATGCTTGCTTTGGTTTTGAGGCAGAACGTAAAAGATGTTGATCTGAGTAGTTAGTTATGATATTTTACATGGTTAAAAGCAACATATATTATGAATGAGATACCTTCCTGAATATTTTAACGGTTGTTCTAAACAAGAATATTTCTTGTGGGCATGCTATTAATACTTGATGGTGATATTTAATAATGGGGATGTCATTACAATCTTTGCAGGGTTCTAAGCGTCCTCGAACAGGGATGACAGAATCTTTTAGCCAGTTGGGTACAGTTTCAAATGCTCCTATGCAAGATGCATGCAAATCTGATTATGTCTCCATTGAAGTTAACAATTCAGCCATTACGGCAGTTGCAAATGAGGTAGGATCTCATTGGGATTGGGATGATGATGACAGAGGTGCGGGCATGGATATTGAAGCACTTCTTTCTGAGTTTGGAGATTTTGGTGACTTCTTCGAAAATGATGCTTTGCCTTTTGGGGAGGTAATATATATTGTTCAAAAATGCAATGATGACATAGTGCAATTATTTAATAATTGTATATAGTATCGTGGTTTTGAATTCCAATTTTTTGGTGTTATTTCCTGAAGTCAACCGACCATGATAACACACACAAAATATCTAGTAGTTGGGTTGTGTGACCCTAAGGTCGTGTTATGTCATGTACTACTGGTGAATTGAATTTACTGCATTGTCTTAATACGACTGAAACAACATTATATTTTCTTACCTTTGTTGGAACACACAAATTACAGTTTTTATTAAATAACTTGGTGGGCCATGCTGAAACAACCATAAGGGCGAACAGTGGTCCTTTTTCAATTTATTACTGAGGAAACCTTACATGGTTTGAACCTTGGAATTGAGGTCTTCTTTGCCAAGTCAATGGCCCTCGAGGCATGATCTAAATCCAATTATTCACATCTATATATACATTTACACATATATATATTCTGCTAGAACTTATTACGCTTTGGTTTCTGTGGCTTCCCCCCTCCCTCCCTAGATAACATGATTAAAGTACTTCAATTTGAAACTAATCATGACCCATCATTTGCTGAAGCCCCCTGGAACAGCAGAGTCGCAGGCTCTTATGTTTTCTGTGCCGGATTGTGGAGATGTTGGTAGCAGTCCTTGTACTGGGATAATGGATGTTTCAGATCATATGCTTCTGACTGGAGGTTTTCCTTCCTTTGAGAGTTTGAATCCACTCCTTTCAGTAGCCACAGAGGAGTCTCTTAGCAAAAATCAAGAATTCACAAAGAATGCTGTCTCTTCTGTCCCAGTAAACTCCACTCCCGCATCTTCTATGGGAGAATTTGTCCATTTAATGAAAGCTGAAGCATTAATGACATTTGCTCTGGAATATGGGGCTGTTGAAACTACCACAAGTGAGTTCTCATCATTGATTTTTAGAAGTCCATATATTCCTAAAAATCGAAAAGCGGAGAGTGCAAATTCAAGCCCGACAAATTATGTATATTGTGCAACACCACCTTCATCTCCTTGCTTTGATGGATCTGATGAGAAGCCTGGTGTGGCTGCAAGTCTGAAATCATGTCCAGGGAGGCGTGATGCAAGCACCATTATCCACTCAAAGAAATATTATACTAATGTTGAAAGTGGGAAAGAGCAAAATGATAAAAGAATATTTACTAGTAAAAACAGTGTTTCTTCATGTGAGGGAGCGACACCAACTCCGTTCTCTGGTTTCAATTCTACAAATGCTGTTAAATCTATCCAGAGGAAAATGACTGAAGGCACCTTTGGATTGGAGCATTTTATCATCTCTACGAAAACAGTGCTTGCAACCGAAGTTGAATGCGTTATGTTCCAAGCTTTTATGTGCAGGATTCGACATACATTGCTATCTTCTGTCTGCCCTCCATCTGTCGGTTTGAGTAGGTTGAGTGGAAGTACTGTTTTAACTCAGCTGCATGGTGACCCGAGTACCACGACTGACAATATTTCGAGCAAGTATGAGATGAGGAAGAAAGAATCCATACCAGTTAGGATAGCTGGAGATATTGATGGAGGAATGCTAGATGGGTCCTTTAGTGCACCTGTTGGTGTTTGGCGTTCTGTCGGAGTTTCTAAAGGTGGAAAACTTACTTCTTTACCTAGTACAGAAATTTGCCCATCCTTGCCGCATAATTCATTCAATGAGGAAGGTATGCTTTCTTATGGGCAGAGGCAACCACTTCAGGAGTTTCTTGATGGCATGACATTACTTGTCCAGCAAGCTACTTCATTTGTTGATTTGGCACTAGATGCTGATTGTGGCGATGGTCCTTTTGGTTGGCTTGCATTACTAGAGCAATGGAGACGTGGATTTTCTTGTGGACCTTCTATGGTCCATGCAGGTTGTGGGGGAAGTTTGGCTTCTTGTCATTCACTAGACATTGCTGGTGTGGAGCTGGTGGATCCACTTTCAGCTGATGTAAGCTTCTTTTATACATAAATAGGGTACTTGTTATGTGTTCCTTCCCTCTTCACTCCCCATATCTTTCTTACTAATGCTTGTTTTTCTTTTGCGGTGAAATGTTGAATTAGGGAGATGAGTACTTGTGCTAAATCAAGTCAATGTTGATCTAGTCACATTTCACTATTAAAGCACTTAAATTACTACCTCTCACAAGTATCTCCAACAGCCCTACTATGAAAGATGGAAAATGCCTCCCTAACAATACATCTTAATGAAAAATAAAAAAATTGTTCTTTACCATGTACTTATATTAAAAACTCCTTTGAAGAGGATCTTTGTCTAGGCAGGATTCAACAGAAATCAATCACTCCTAAGCATTGAGTTGGACACGTCCTTGATGTGTCCAATATTATAATTAAGTTAATTGAAATTTAAAAAACATGTGAGAATACTTTCCTCTCCATCCCCCAAAACCTTAGGGATTTGTTAGATAAAAAATAGTGGAAAGTAAAGAATGGAAAGTTTTTAACCTTTTAGGAGTTTGGATAAATTTAAATGAAATTTTTGAGGGAATTTGATTTTCCATAATCACACAATTTTTTGTTTTTTTTTTGGTTTTGTTTTCCTGGGAAAGTTACGTGAACTTACAATCATGCCCTTTCCTTTTATATCTCTAAAAAATATATCTTTGCTCTTAACTTTTTATAAGAATGGTATAATGATTCGTATCTCTCTATGAATGTCCTAAAACAATATTTAAGGCCCCTCTCGGAAAATGGAAGGCTATTTGGAGATCCAAGGCCTCTCTCAAAGCGGGTTTTTTTTTTTTTTTTTGCTTGGACTTGGTGTTGGGGAAGATCGTAACCCAGGATAACATAAGAAGGAGAAGACAGGTAGTGGTCAATTGGCGGTACATGTGTAAGAGAGATCTAGGGATTGCTGGGTCTTACTTTTGAGTTTGTTTGGTGTTCAATGGGTTATGCCCAGATCCCCCAGAATTTTGATTGAGGCTTCGCAAGGATGTATAGTGGGGGCCTAAGTCCGTGATTTTTGGAGGGTTACGCCTCTTTCCATTTGGCGGTGCTTATGGCTTGAAAGAAATAGGAATTCTTTCGAAGGAAAGGAGACTTCTATGGGGGAGTCAAAGTTCTCTATCATTAACACTCTTTTTGTTGGCTTTTAGGGAGATATTGTAAATTCATGGAGGAGATAGTTGATCTTTTGGACTCTATGAGAGTTTAGAGGCCCTATTAGGCCTTGTCTATCTTCCAAGGGATGCGTTCCCATTTTGAACGCTTCTTTTATGCAATCTTTAGTTATAAAAAAAAAAAGAAAAAAAGAAAAAAAATAAAAAAGACTATTTAGGTAAAAGATAATATTTTCTTGTATGCTTCTGAAGATGCAAGAAATTCATTCTTCTTTCTCTCTCTTGAATTCTTACACTTCAATAGAATCAAAATCCCCCTTCTTATCCACCCGTAATGGTTTATTTATAGACCATTACAAATATTCTCACTAACTGATTATATTGGGCCTCTATTCAAGGGTTTTCTTCCTTTTGGGCCTGACCTTCCAATGGGCTTGATCTTCCTCAGTGGATCCTCCAAGCTTGGCCCATTCCGTGGTGCTTTTGCATGGGCCATACTTCAATTGTTCGACCCGATCTCATGCCAGCGAGCTATAACCGGCCCATGCCACTTACTGCATCCTCAACTGCCCCCATAATTACTCCCTATTGATTAGGGGGTAATTATTAGAGGCTGCTAATCATGACCTGACGGCTCGAGAAGATCGCGTGGGAGAATGGACGATTAGCTTTGGGGGTCGGCGTTTCGAGATTCAAAAAACTCTTCGCTTTCCTGACTCTTCGGCCCTCGGGCCCACCTTGTCTTTATAAGCCTCATAGATGTTCCATCGATTCTCTTTACCGTCTCCATCTCACTTTCTGGTGTTTTGACTTTGGACATTCTTCCTCTGTCCACCGTGACTCCATCTGTTACTACTGCTGAAGATAACCCTCAGCGGAATGATTCTTCTAACGCTATTGAGGGTAGGACTCAATAGAACGATTCTGTCATTCACCTCGACTCTCCTCCTCGTGAGGATGGTGATACCAACAATAATGAGGAGACCGTCCAGCACCATCAAGAAGCTGACGAGGCAAACGATTCTGAGTTAGAACCTTTTTGATGTATTGACTTTCCTTCTTTTGTATTTTTACCATCTGTATACCTCATCGTTTTTGTAACTCTTTAAACTTTATTATTAATGAGATGGCCGACTTCTTTTCAAACTCTTTCTGTAAATTCTTTGTTTTAACGATCTGATCTAGTTCTTCCCTATATGTCAGTGGTTGGCTTTCAGCTAATTTTTTGACGTTCGGCTTATAGTGCCAGCTGCCACTTCTTTTGCTGAGTGGTTGGCGCTCGGGTAGAACGCCGCTTGCCACTTTCATTCTTTTATTTCTTTTGGCAAGTTTTTGGCGTTCGGCTCATAGTGTCAGCTGCCACTTACTTTGCTTAGGTGCCTGGCACTCGGCTAGAATGCCACTTGCCACTTGGCCTTTTATTTCCTAGCAAGTGTTTGGCGTTCGGCTCATAGTGCCAGCTGCCACTTACTTTGCTTAGGTGCCTGGCGCTCGGCTAGAATGCCACTTGCCACTTGGCTTTGCTATTTTTACTTACTCAACCTCTTAATGAGGAATATTATTTTTATAAATCTCAGAAACTTGTACATTTGCCTGTATTCAATTGAAAATGAACAAAATTCAATATTGAAATTCAACTTTTTATTGATAATACCTCTTCAGAGAAGTAGCATTCCAAGGCTTGTTAACCAGCCTTTCGGCCATGGTCTCTAAGGTATATGCCCCCTTTCCTATGGCTTCTGCAATTCTGTATGGATCTTCCTATGGTGGCATCATCTTTTTGACTATCCCCACCTTCTTTTTCAGAACCAGATCACCCGGTCTAAAGTCTCTGTGCTTTACTTTTTTGTTATGGCTATTTGCAAGCGTCTGCTGGTAGGATGCGAGCCTTACCGCCGCTGCATATCTTTTTTCCTCCAACAAATTGAGGTTAAACCTCAACATACTGTCATTATGCTCTCGGTTCCATGCCAAGCTTCGAACAGTTGGAGCCAAGTGCTCAACTGGTATAACTGCCTCGGTACCATACGCCATGGTGAATGGGTTTTCTCCGGTCGGTCGCCTTGGGGTCGTTCTGTAAGCCCATAGGACGTTCGGCAGTTCATCTAACCATTTTCCTTTCTTTTCTTCAAGCTTCTTCTTGATACAAGCAAAGATTGTTCTATTTGTGATTTCCGCCTGTCCATTGGCCTGGGGGTGACTTACTGCCGCCAGCTTTTGATTAACTCCATATTCCTCCAACAACCCTCTTACTTGCTTACTGTCAAGGTTGGTCCATTATCCATGACGATTGACCTCGGAACACCAAACCGGCAAATAATATTACTCCAAATGAATCGTCTCACATGAGCTTGAGTAACGCTCGGGTATGGCTCTGCTTTCACCCACTTAGTAAAGTAATTTGTAGCTAGCAGCACATACTTGTTCTGAGCTCTTGCAGTTGGTAGAGGACCAACCACATCTATCCCCCACTGTGCGAAAGGCCATGGTGTGGCCATTACGTGCAAGTCCTCAGGTGGTTGGTGAATCAGTGGTCCGAACCTTTGGCACTTATCGCACCTTCTGGACAATTCTTCCGCATCTCGCGACATGTTTGGCCAAAAGCTAAAGATCTCCCCCCTGAGTGGTTTCCACATACACCTTCATGAATAGCTCGTAGTATCTGCCGAGCCTCTGTGGGGGTGACGCACTTTAAGTACGGTCCGGAAAAAGATCTTCTGTACAACTGGTTATGCACTACGGCGTACTTCGTAGCATTCGATTTGATTTTCCTAGCCTCATCTCTTTGCTCAGGCAGAGCACCATTCCGGATGTAAGTTATGATCGGATCAATCCAACTTGGCTCATATGGAATAACATTCACTTGCTAAGGATCTGAGCCCGAAGGTTCTTCGAAAATGGATGGCTGGTTTAATATTCCTACTGGAATCACCCTTGCCAATGTTTCTCCCGAACCCGAGGCACTACATGCTAGCCGATCGGCATCCTCGTTATGCTCCCTCGGAATTTGAATGAATTCAATTTTTTCAAAGTTTTTGGCCTCCCGCATAACAGCAGAATGATATGCTTCTATCATTTAATCCTTGGTTTCATACTCGCCATTCACCTGCCGAACGATTAATTGCGAGTTACTAAAAACAGTCAAATTCCTGACCTTCAGCTCCTTGGCAAGCTTAATTCCTGCCAGCAATGCTTCATACTCCGCCTCATTGTTCGTGGGTCCGAATTCAAGCCGAAGCGCTTGACTTGAGGATGTACCTTCTGGCGTCTGCAGTTTGATCCCAATGCCTGCACCCATCTGATTTGAGGATCCATCGACAAAGAGTTTCCATAAGCAACCACGAAAGTCTTCCTCCATGTCCTCTGAATCACATTCTAGTAAAAAATCTGCCACCGCTTGCCCTTTGACTGCTGTTCTGGGTTCGTATATGATATCAAATGAGCTTAACTCTATGGCCCACTTCGTCATTCTTCCTGAGGGATCTGGTTTGTGCAGGGTTATTCTGATAGGGAAAGTGGTTAGAACGATGATAGGATGGGATTCAAAATAATGCCTGAGCTTTCTTTTCACATGCACTAGCGAGAGTATCACCCGCTCTGCCTTTGAATAACGTCTTTCGGCCTCAGTCATTGTCTTGCTAACGTAGAACACTGGATATTGCTTCCCTTCTGCATAGCGGATCAAAACACCACTTGTCGCGATGCTGGATACTCCGAGATATAAAAATAGCTTTTTGCCTGGTTTTGGAGCTGACAGGACCGGAAGGTTTTACATATACTTTTTCAGAGCAGTTAACGCTAGGCGCTGTTCATCCCCCCAAACTTGCCTGCCGTGGCTTCGTATTGTGTCAAAAAATGGTTTGCAGCG